CAAATGGGATTGCATGAAATTGCTGAGCTTCTGCATGGCAAAGGACATAGCTAGAAAGATCAATAGAAAGCCCACTGATTGGGAGAAGATCTTCACTAGTCATACAACGGATAAGGGTCTCATATCTAAAATATACCTGGAACTCAAAAAATTAAATCCCCCAACAACAAATCCTCAAAGAAACAACTGCCCAATAAATAAGTGGGCTAAAGTCTTAAAGAGAAACTTCTCTGAAGAGGAAAGAAGGATAGCCAATAGACACATGAAAAAATGCTCAACCTCTCTAGCCATAAAAGAAATGCAAATCAAAACATTGAGATACCACCTCACCCCATTTAGAATGGCTATAATCAAGAACTCTAATAACAACAGATGCTGGAGATGATGTGGCCAAAAGGGAACCCTACTGCATTGTTGGTGGGAGTGTAAACTTGTTCAACCACTTTGGAAAGCAGTATGTTCCTCAAAAGCCTCCATGTAGAGCTTCCCTATGACCCAGCAATCCTACTTTTGGGCATTTACCCAAATGATCACAAACAAGACCATACTAAAGCTACCAGCACAACTATGTTTATCGCAGCATTATTTACCTTAGCTAAGGTAAGGAACCAACCCAGATGCCCCTCAGTAGATGAATGGATCAAAAAATGTGGTATATATACATAATGAAATTCTATGCCTCCATCGGAAAGAATGCCCATTTGTTAGGAAATGAAAAGCCTTGGAAAAAATTATATTAAGTGAAGTAAGTCCCATCATTTCCCTTATTTGCAATAACTAGTATATGTCTGAGACAAGCAGAAAAGGTCAAATAAGTTTATGTTAGTTGAAATCAACCCCAAGATAAGTATTCAAATATTTTTTCTTTTATGCTATTGGTTCTAACATATTTATAAGATGATTTCTTTGTTGCTTTGTATGTCCCTCCCCCATGGTATAACACCTGTTTTCATTGTATTTGATGTTGGTATAATTTGTGGAGGGGAAGGGAAAAACCAAATTGTTTAAATAGGTATATAGGTGGACCCAATGCAACAATCAGATGTACAAGTTATTATGTTGAAAAACGAACTTTACAACACTTTGACCCGGGGGGGGGCGAGGGAGGAGGAGTGATATGGGGGGCTGGAGCGGGGAAGATGGGAAGGGATAGGAAGCAGAAACAAAGGAGTAAGCAACAATGCTTTATAAGAAATGCACTCATTATCTTGCTCATGTAATTGTAACTCCTCTGTACAGTATTTTCATAATGAAAAAATGACAAAATTCATGATCATTGTTTTAAATGTACTATGTGATTTTTTTGTTTCCTTTGTATGTTCTTCCCCCTATGGTGTATCCCCTGTTGTCACTGTACTTGATTTTGGTACCCTGCATCTTGTATATACATTTGTCTAATCTGGGGAGTGGAAGGGGAATAACAAACGCTGAAACAAGGACACAGGATGACGCATTGCAACAATGATACCCACAGGACAGTATTTTGTAAACGGACTTTACAACTTTGGGTGAGGGGGTGGGAGGTGGGGGAGAGAAGGGTTAATGGGACAACAACAAGGGAAGAGGTAACAATGATCAACAAGTAATGTACTCATTGCCTTATTCATGTAACTGTAACCCCTCTGTACCGAATCTTTACAATAAAATAAAATTTAAAGAAAACACTGGCATTTTGAAATACTTCTGTTGTCCTCTTTACAGTGTTAATAGCTTTGAAATGTGAAATTCTTTTTTTTTCAGTGCAAAGTGGAGAAAAATAAAAGCATCCTGAAGAAAGTTGAAATGTGCTTCACATTTCTAGAGGTTGTTAAAAATGACACATTATTATCTTACATGGTACCATTTTCAGTTGAATCTCCTCAAGCTTTCACTTTTGCTACCTGTATGCCTATTGTCAAGAAACATGGATTATGCTAATTTTCTAAGATTGTATTTGTATGATAATACTAATTTCTATGATTAAGGAAAAAGTTGATTAGAATTGTAAGTAAACTGAAAGCCACTACAATCTGAATGAGTCTAAGAGCCTCTTCCACCGTATGAAATGTATGCTTTATTCCATGACCTTTAGGTCACATAGGTCATTCTCTATTTTTGACTATGTTTTAAGTTTGAGTTTGCATGGAATGTGATATTGAATCTAGTGTCTGAAAAGCAGAAATAATTCAATTTGATTTGAGATACTCATTGCACTAAAATATAAAAAGATTTTTAGTTTAGCTAAGAAATCATCTTTTTTAACTGGCATGGTGCTTACATCAGTCAGGATGAGTTAGTAGGTTTGCTGTGGTAACAAATGACTTCCTTACCCCTAGATCTTAGTTGCTTAACTTGTAAACATTTATTTCTTATTATGTAAAGTATATTCCTGGTCTGATAATTCTGTGAGGTTGGTTTCTTTCATCGGTTACTTGGCAGTCTTGCAACCTGGCATCTGGGTCACATGGTAATCAGGGTTGCAAGAACAGAGGAAGGGAGACCACACCCCCTCTCAAATGACTCAGTGTTAGATATTTCAGTCTAGAAGTGACACATGTCACTGCCACTCACAGCTCATTTGCCAGTACGTATCAGAAGGAATGTATAACCTTGCTATATGTTCACAAATGAGTAGAGAACCACATATGAATGAGTGCTGCAAGTCTCAACTACAGTGACCTTGGGCAAGCTACTCAAATTTATTATAAGGGGAGTTGGCTTTGGTCCCTTCAGAATTCTACCTCTTGTCACAATCTCTTGTGTCTAAGTGTTTGTTTTCTTCTATTAGTTTTGTGACTTTGATTAGTTATGTGCATTATATTGCTGTTACTCTGAGGTCATCAAATAATACTGGCAATAGACACATGTTTACAACGTGTTGGGTAGCTGATAGCTAAACTAGAGCAAATGATGCGTTGCTTTTCTTTGTTTTCAGAATTGGGGATTACACTTGCTAAGGCAGGAACTGTAGCACTTGAGTCACCTTTGGCACTTGAATTTATTTTAGCTACAGGACCTGCAGTTACTTAACCTTTTTATGACTCAGGTTGTGTGTGTGTGTATGTGTGTGTGTGTGTGTGTGTGTGTGTGTGTGTGTGTGTGTGTGTGT